ACAATGGTACGTATAGATTTGGGACTAGATAGGGATGCCAAAGGTGACAGTGTGTTAGAAAAGAAAATAACTTATGTATGAGGAACACAAAATATTGAGTTTAAAAAGATAGGATAAAGACATAAAAAAAAAGATTGAGAAATTTGCTAAAGGCTACTCAAAATATACAGGAGCATTTAACAAAGGGGATGGTCAACTGGAAGAACTGCAGATGAGGGATCTCACAAGATAAAAATCGAAAGCCTCTACTGGATTTAGCAGCATGGCAGCATTAATGGTGGAAAACACCAGAGCAGAGAGTTTGAAGAATGAATGAGAGATAAAGAATCAGAGAAGGATGGCTATTAAGGAAGGTGAAACTAAAGGCATAGAAAACAGGGAGGTCAAAGAAGTTAACAGAACATATTTTAATGTTAGACATAAAAGCATATGTGTGTGTTTGTCAGAAAACCAGTAGAAAGGGGAAATAAATGGAGACGAATAGTGACAGAAGTTCAAATTCATAAAGTACAATGGTAATTATAGAACTTTCCCAATCTCCAAAGTATAGCTAATAGGAGTCCAGAATTTGGCTTTTGATGTTAAGCAGCAATGGATCTGCAGCTTCTTAGGGCCTTCTTTTTTTTTCTTTTTGCTTCTGGTGGTTAGTGAGTCAGAAGCTATAGATCCATTGCTACCTTACATCAAGAACCATTTACTGGACTCATCTTGGTTATTTTCTAGAGGCCAGGCACAGGATTAAGAAGACTGACAGTTGAGGAAGAAGGGGTAGACAACTTCAATCTTTTGAAATCTCTATATGTTGACCCTCATCTCTGTTTTACTTTACTAATAAACTGCATAAACTGAAGTAGCTTGTTTGTTAATTTTAGTCTTGGATATATATAAGTCAGAAAAATAATCTTTGTGATGTGATGGGAAAGAATAAATCACGAAGCAAGATCTGGAATTTGCCTACTTAGCGATGGGTACTTGAGACCTAAGATGAGGAATATAGATTCCTATATAGCTCCAGAAATATAGAAAAGGATTAAAATCATTCATTTGCATATTCATTTAATTGTGCATTGAATTCTTATTCATTATACAGATATATATTGAATGTCTGTTTCATATAAGTAATTTCTTTGGACAAAAGGTTCACAGTAAAAATGAAATGGAAAAAAAAATAAAGTGCTTGTGTTCATGAGGCTAAATTCTAGGGGAAAGAAGCATTAATCAAATACATACATAATAATGTGCATGATGTGTTATCATATTTGATAAGCACTAAGTGGGGTATCATATTTGATAAAAACTATCGATCCTTCATCTATAAAATTTGAAAACAGAATTGGTGTTTTGGATAGGAAAACAGTTAATTTCTTAAAATATGTTTTTTTTGTCTATGAAACAGATATGAATCAATTGTTTTAGGAGAGACCACTACATGTACCATAATCTAGGGTAGACAAGCACTATACCTGATGATACATAATTAGCCCTCAAAAATGGTAACTATTATTACATGCCATACATGTAACAGACTAGCATATAGTGTTCAATTAATAAAGACTTCTTAGAAAACAATGACCATAAACTTTTAACAATTTTTTCTTTTTAGTAATACATAGAAATAGAGTATATTTTGACAAATTTATATAAGCATGGAGTATATTATTCTAATTAGGTCCCAGTCTTTGGGTTGTACAGGATGTGAAGAATCACTGTGGGTGTATTCATATGTGTTCATAGTAAAGTTATGTAAGATGTATTACACTGTCTCTCCTAATCCTGAACCCCCTCCCTTACCTTCATTTCCCTTTGTGCTGAACTTGTGTTCTTCCCCTGCTCCTTGTTGTGTGTAAGTATTCACATGTCACAGAGAATATTCCACCTTTGGGTTTTGGGGATTGGCTTATTTTGCTTAGCATAATAGTCTTCAGATCCATCATTTACTGACAAAAGTCATAAAGTCATTCTTTCGTGGATGAATAATATTCCATTGTGTATATATACCACACTTTCTTTATCCATTCATCTGTTGAAGGGCCCCTAGGTTGCTTCCATAGCTTAGCTATTGTCAACTGAGCTGCTATAAACATTGATGTGACTATTTCACTGTGGTATAATGAGTTTGAATCCTTCGAGTATATGCAGAGGAATGGGATAACTGAGTCAAATGTAGTATGAATTCCAAGTATTATATTCTAAATTGATTTCTGAGCAACTTTGAGAAAAAGAAAATTGGTGTGCACTGTGAATTGATAGTCACTATAACTAGATACAGAACCATTTAATAATCAGAAAGCTCCAGCCATCCAAAGGAAGAGGGAAGAGAAAGGTGACTTCAATAAAGTACAAAAAATAGTGGCCTGCTATGGAATCTGCCTACCTAACCCCTTCACTCACGTCAGAGGGCTTCTTGGTGGTGGCAATATTGTCAGTTTGACTCTGTAATTCTACGTCATGGGAGGACTTTTCTGTGAATTTAAGGTTATATCCACAACCCTTGCCTATATTCACTAGACATCATAGCTAACCCAATCCACAAGTGTGGCAACTGAAAGTCCCTCCAGACACTGTCAAAATCCCATGGAGTCAAATGGTCTCCAGGTGAAAACTACTCCCACAATGGAAGTCAGAGAACTTTCTCCGGTCCCTTACCTACTTAGCAACTTTTGTAATTCTAACCTAGAATCCTGTAAGAAACCTGATATATTTTCCTAGATGTGTGCTCCTGTGAAACCCTGGTTTGCTTAATAAATATAATATACCTTATTTGCTTTATTCAGAATTTTCTGTACATAGGTTCTCCATTTCCTATTCCATTCTACCCCACAAATACAATTGGTTTATCAAATCAAAGGGGATAGACTGCTGGAATCAAGATATGGCTGATATATAAACTATCATTGCTTTTATCAGGTTCCAGAGAGATTAGATCTCTTTTACACAGTTTCCAGGAAAAAATAATTTAACTGCGACAGCAGAATAGGGTCCATTTCTGGGAAGACATATAAGAAGGAAAAATATGTATCAGATGAACATAGAACTAAAAAAGAATCAAGTAAACGTACGTAAATAAAAATATTGAAGAATATTTCAGCACAAAGTTAGAAAAACATAAAGATTTTTGGAAAATATAGGGAAGTTTCCTTTTTTCCAGTTCCTTATCTTTATTAGAATAAGCAGGCACTTTGTTACTCCCCAAGGATATCTCCTTCACCTTTTTCATTAATTTCTTTTAACTGTCCTCTGCATCTTCCAGTTACTTATGAGAAGAGTTAAGAGCAAAACCTCATTAAGAGTTATTGATGGGAAGACTATCAACAACTGTTTCAAAACATTAGTATTATATTCCCATCAATATGTGCCAAACCCTTACCTAATTTTAGGAAAATGCAAGGGGTGACTAGACAAATATTTGTTATTCACAATGTACTTCAAGTGAATTAATTCCTACTGAGTGGCTAATCAGATCAGTGAATTAGTGTGTGCATCCAATGAAACATTTAAATAATTATCCAGAGCACATTTTTAATTGAAATAGGAAAAAGGAAAGAAAAGAAAAACCCAAAACCCAGGTTTATATTTGCATTACATTTCATCTAAATTGCCTAAATTTATTTCTCATAGTATATTAAAATGGACCTTTATTGTTATGTAAGTAATTTGATATGTGCTGCTTTGATTAACATGCTTTATGGAAGAGAAAGATGCTGCTTAATTAACGTGAAATAGGAGAACAGGAACAAGGAGGTTCAACGAGCATCTTTCAGAAAAGTAAAAGGATGATGAACAAGAGAGGAAAGAAAAGTGTAGCTCTGTAAAACATCTGTTTATTCCAGGAAAGAAAAATCCCTAACCTTGTTATCCCCATCCAATTCCTTTAAGTGATTTCAGTGAGCGTAGCAACAGTTCCCTTACCGCTATGCACAAACACTGTTACTTCTGGCTTGAACTGTTTGCTGGGAGACAAATATTCTCAAGTAACTAGGTGGTCAATTTCAGTTCAGCCATGAATCTGGCCAATTCCAGGTGGTTGTGGAGTGATTAATGAGGCAGCCAAAGACCCCAACCTCAGGCGACTTCCGTGGGAAGCAGGGATTTAGCAAGGCGTAAAAGCAGAAGATGGCTGGGCACAGAGCCTGCTTCTCCACCACCACCACCACCACCGTCTTTGCCTGTACAGTTGTTCCAGCTGCCAAAGGCTTTCTGGTTGCCATGGCAACTCTGCGGCTCTGCTGGGAACTCAAAGCAGATCCTCTGAAGTTAGATACCACACACTGGAGCTCAATAAACGCCACGGCAACTGGGAAGGATGAAGAGAACGAGGACCACCCTCCTGAGGCTAAAGGAACCTTTCCACAATCAGAGTTTTGTTTTTGTTTTTGAAATGAGATAGTTTCTTGCCTGCCATTAGTGTCATCCTTTGGTGCCTGGCGGGAGGAGCTGACTGTAAATCCTGTGGCCGGGAGGGGATAGGAAACATTGTCACCTGGAATGTGACAAGCCCTCTCACTCATTCATTCAATTACAGATTCAGCATCTCCCGAGAGCTCTTTTGTGCAGAGCACTGGGTCAGGTACGAGGTGTGCAAAAAGACGAGGCACCGCCCCACCTTCAAAATAAACAAATGATAATTAACCAAAATGAACCGAATTCTCCCTAGCCCTGGGGTGGGGGTGGGAGGGACAGGCGCTGCCTGCTTCCCCCTGATCTCTCTTGGAAAACAGATTCAGAAGCCAAACCCAGGAGAGGAAAAGAGGCATTTTCTCTGAAACACACAGGAGGGAAGGCTGGGGACTGGGCGGCGGGGGAGAGGGAGGCAGTCTTTCCCTAGGGAGGAGGTCTGTCAAGGCCACTCAAACGTTTCTCTGCGGCTGGGAGGAAGTAGAGGTTTATTTTCTTTTAGAAAAACGGAGCCCTTTCCCCTACTGGGCTCGGTTTCTAGTAGGGGAAGCTCCGCCCCTCTGGGCCACTGATTGGTCCAACTCTTTTAAAGATAATTTATGCCAGCATCCTCGGGATTTGATTGGCTTCCCCGCTTAGTTCCGCTGGGAGTCGCATCCTACCTGGTTAGGAGGTGTATTGCCCTTCCACACTCTCCCAGCTCCTACTCTCTGGGCTGCTGCTGAGGTGGGAGGCAAAGTCCTGGTTCTGAGATTGGGCAGTGTTAACAGAAAAAGAGATCCCGATGGGTTCTTGGAAAGCTTTTCTCTTCTTCCCTTTTCTTCTGTGGAGTCAAAGTAGAGGGGTGAGGTTGATGTTCTTATTATTGACCCTGCATTTGGGAAACTGGTAAGTAAATTCAAAACTTAAAACTATTTTTTTTTAACATCTAACTCTTTCCCTGTATTTCTCTTTCTTTAAAAGAAATCATTCTAAAGAAATTGCATTTCCTGGGGGAACATGTGCAATATTTACCATCATTTTATCTTCTGATTGTATCTGCTCACTCTCAGCATGAAATTAGCTTATTTCTGAAGCACTGAGATTAGTTCAGTTGCTGCTTTTTTTACTTCAAGACAGTACAAACTAGTAAAGGTTCAGTTACTGGGAAGGGGTGTGGAAGAGTAGAAATGACTTTGCTATTAAATTTAGTGAATGAATGCCATTGATGAACTTTATGGATGATTCTGCATTTTAAAGACAGAGCTATCTCACAAACTTCTTAACAGCATGCATGGTTTGTTTGTTCATTTTTTTCCTGTATACTAATACTGTTTTTCTTCCTTATTATTTAATAACTTTCTGGAATAAATCAATGTTTTATAAGATTATAAATCTGGCTAAAATCTCTATCAAGGTTGAAAATGTGTAAATTTCAAGTCAGAAGTGACCCTGTATATTTTATTGAAACCAGAGTTGAGTGGGTTTTATTTAAGTTGGCTGTCCACTAGCAATTACAAAATGTAAGGTGATATTAGTATCTTGGCTGTATGTGTGCATGATATTACCAATCACAAGGCTCAAGCCTAAGAGGAACAAGATTAGGCGGCAATAGCTTTCAATGAAACTTTGAAATTATTCTGGTAAGGAAATGAAATGCTCAACTGTCATATATGGATCATTTGAAAGAATAGAGGGTGAAAAGAATTAAAATGTATTCATTAAAAAACATAGGCACTATATATGTCTGGTCCACAACACTAAGATCATGTAACTTATTTTAAATAAGTGTATATATTTAAAGTTATATTATTGTATTATATAATTCCTCTTAGAACTTGACTAAGGAACTATGAAGATAGAAACATGTCTTTAAAACTGTAGCATCGCTAAAATGAATTATTATTATAATTTTAGTGTATAGCTAGAGTATTTGCTTTTGCCATTACAAGCAGATAGAACAAATACATTTTCTTTCAGAAAATTGAGATTGGATTAAAGTATAAGTAATATCAGCTTTACTGGAAAAATTTTTGTCATTTGGTATTTTCCTGATTTCACAGTTTCAGTTTATATATACATTTCCCTTAGACTGTCAAATGTTCTATATAACAAACATGTTCATCAATGAATCATTCCTTATATATGTTGCATCATGATGATTTATTTCTTTGACTATATTACAAAATTTTATAGAAGCTATTCAAATAGAACACACATCTTCATAGTACTACAAAAGTAAAGGCAAATTTACCTAGTGGTTTTCTGAAGTAACAACCTGTATACTCTTTCTGTTGTTGTAAGGACAACTTTCTCTTTCAATCTAACAGGCAAACCACTTAGGAAAAATCATGTTTTCCATTCAAGAAATCCTTTAAATAGTATACTTTGTTTTTAAGGATATTTATGTTAAAATAATTGCAATTGGCTACTAAACTCCAGTTTCTCAGAGTTAAAGAACTCAGTGGTGTAGTGGACAAGGCACGGGCTTAGCAGTCTGAATACATAATGATGTGTGTCAAGCATCTATAACCTGTCTGGACTCAGTTGCTTAATCTAAGAAATGAGGGATAACCGTAGGCATTTATGTTTCCAGTGTTGGCATTCAATGCATGTAAGATTTGAACTGAAACATCAAATGACTCAAGGGCTGCTTCACTAGTTTATCTTAGTAGTTCTCAAAGGGAAATTTGTAAATGTGAGTCCCATATACTTTTTTTAACCATGTGCATGAGGGGCTGTTACACAGTTTGATTGATAAACAATTCATTTTATCATAATACTAGAGATAAACTGCATTATTCCATTCAATGAATATACATTAAAAAACAAATCTGTTGTTATAATTAGCTCTTAGAGCCTCATGAAAGTTTATGCCTTCCATTTTTAAAGTAGCTAAAGTTATGCTGAACTTTTCATGCTTTTAATACTTGGAGATACTTGATGTTAACATGCATAAACCACATACAATCATATTTACCTTTTTCTTTCTTGTTCTGAGGGATCTTTTCAAAACTGACCATAGGTAGTTTTGTTTGTAAGTATTTTGATGTCATAGAACAAATAAATGAATCTTCACAATCATCTCAAATCATCTGTTTTTGAATTTGCCAAATTGGAAGCTACTATTTTCTAATTTGTGTATGGTACTTGGGGGCTCTACCACTGAGGTGCATCCCCAACCCCTTTTGTTTGCTTTTTGAATTTTGAGACTGGATTTCACTAAGGTTCCCAGGCTAATCTTAAACTTTTGATCCTCTAGTCTCAGTCTCCCAAGTAGCTGAGATTATAGGGGAGCATCACTGTGCTTGGCTAACCTTTGTTGTTGTTTTTTGGGGGATCAAACCCAGATTCTCCACAAGCGCAGGCAAGACAAGCACTCTATTACTAAGCCACATTCCCAGTCCTTGTTTGTTTGTTTAATTTCAAGACAATATCTCACTAATTTGCCTAGGCTAACCTCAAACTTGGGATCCTCCTGCCTTATCCTCCCAAGTAGCTGTGATTATGGTCATGCATCACCATGCCTAGCTGACTTTTTTTTTTTTCCTGCTTTCTTGTGTGGTGGTGCTGGAGGTAAAATCCAGAGCCTTCTGCTGCTAGGCAAGCATTCTACCACTGAACCACATCTCCAGTCCTTATTGTTTCTTATATCTAATCAGATACAAAACCATCTCTCTTTAATAGTTTTCATTAACACCTTCATTAAAACATTCCATTAATACTTTCTCTCTTTATTACTTTTCATTAAAAACATAAAGGAGAAACATTATATTGATTTTTATATTGGTAAACTGTGAACACTGATCCTTCTTTTATAGCTAAAACCTGTAGTCATGGATCCTGTGTTACATTCACCAGGAGACCCTATGGTTTCTGTTCAAGTTGGTTTAAATTTACTCAGCTTTCTTTGACTTCTTTGTAATGTTGAAAAAAAAAATCTAGCTATAATCAGGTTTTCAAAAAGAGTTTAAAAAGCGCCTTGAGGTTTTATGTGTTCGAAAATGTAAGCTATGATCAACTTTGATCCACAAGTTATATTTTGAGACAATCTCAAGGAAAATACTTGTTTTATATAAAAATTTTTCCATAAATCAATAATCATACAGTGTAGCATTCAACTTCCCAGATGAAAATATTCAAATATAATTGCTTTTAAAATATACTTTAATGATATTTCTGTGGGGGTGGTAGTGAATGAAAGATTTTTCTTTAGTTGTCTAGATTTTTGGTTTAAATTTCTAATATACTAAAGATAACCAAGAAAACTTGAGAAGAAAATGATCCTCCATGATAATTACATATTTAAAGAACTGTGAGATAACATAATTTTGAAAATAAAATACAAATGTCATAATTGACAAGTCCCTTGTTTGTAAAGTCTTTTAAATTATCGAAACAAGAAATACCTTTCTTCAAGTTCATTCCATTCTATATTATAAAATGCACATTTGACTAAGTAATAAAAGGAAATGCTTCTCATTTCATTCAAACACTAAATAGATTAATACAATATTTTATAGTTTCTTAAATGTGATTAAAATTGCCTTGGGATACAAGAATGAAGATGGAGGCCCAAAGAGGGTAGACAAGGAAGGATACAAAGTTTAAAAGTGGCTTTTGAGATATTGAGAAAATGTCATTACTTATAGGCAATGACTGCTATGAGGCAAGAGGAGGAATGAACTCAAATGGAGTAGAGCAGGCCCCAAGTGGAAAGCCTGGATTATACCATCAAATTTAAAATCTAGTTTCAGCTTTACCATTTCCCATTGGAATAATCTCAGCCAAGTTTTGAGGCAGAGAGTTTTTATTTGTCATCTATATTTCCAGATTATTTCAAGACCAAGAAAGAAAATTTGTGCAAAGAACCTATCACTTACTGTTTTGTCTGAAAAAGGCAGAATAGCATATATTATGTAAAATCACAGTAGTATTGATCTTTGTTAAAGTGATTTTAAGTCCAGTAGAATGAAATCCTTAAATCCTTGTGTGCAATTTAATACCCTTAAGTTTGGGAGAGATCTCTCATTCATGTATTCAACAAATGTTTATTGAATGCCTGCTGTGTGTGGAACCTAGTGCAATATGCTAAGCTTACAGTGAAAAGAGTACACAGGAGCACTACCCATAGGGCGCCTATCTATCCGCTAAGATAGAAAACATCTTTTAGTTAAAATAAGTAGATATAGCTTGAGGATTTAAATTCTTGAGGCTAGAAGATGCTGAGAACAAATCATGGCTAAGAAAAGAGAATTGAAGAGCCATAAGATTTCTCATCAGCTGTACTAGAAGACGATGGGGAAAATGTCTCTCAAATTCTTACAACAAATATCCAGCCTAGATTATGACATTTAATCAAATTTCCAGTTAAACAGGAAGGGAGAATAAAGTCCAGATACTGTTACTTGCCCATTTTACACATGGAAAAAACGGGCAGAGATTTTTTGAAAACTTAATACTCATTTTGGTGATAAGTGTTGGATTCAAATCTCAAATACAAGTATTCTATGTCCAAAGCCTGAATTTTTACACTTGATCTTAGCCAAAAGGCCGAGAAGCGATAAAGCCTGAATTTTTAAAGGTCAAACCACTCAGATTACAAATACAATATAAATCAAAGCAAGTAGGCTGACTGTGGATGAAGGGGAAGAAAAAGGAAGAGAAGGAAAGAGAAAAGAAGAGACATAGGAGAGAAGGGTAAGGGAGAGGAGAGCCATTCTGGGAAGGGCTGGAAAAGGAAGGAAAGATAACGTAATTATCTTTTCATTGATTGAGGCAGAGTAAGTAGAAAAATCTACTCTACATATACTTGTACTTTCTTGCATATCATGTACATTGCTAGAAAAATTATTTTAAGAAAAAAAAGTTGGATCAATAAAATAAGATTATAGTATAAAGAATTAAAA